ATCATCAGCGCAATCCTCCGTGGATGTCCATAGTATTAATCATTATGATGATTCCAACCGCCGCGTAAGAATCCAACTATCCCTTGCTGAACTCAAAAATGCCATGACTTACATCTGCGACATCAATCACGTTACAAGAATATTTGTATATGCAGTACTAATCGTTAAATGCCATGTGCAAAGGGGAGATTACTGGCTTATTAGAGTGCAAAAAAGTGATGAACCAACGCATTCAGTCTTATCGCGTATTTCATCAATAATTCTTTACTAATCGGTTTCCCCTCTATATGCTTATCAGATGGCTTGCTTTTACCTGATAGGATGTTGATCGAGGTTTGTCCCTTCTCTTGACTGCCAAAGAGTTCAATGATGTTGACAAAGACTTGGGCTTTCCTTGAGGTCACAGGCTATAGGGTTTGTTATTCCATAAATTATGAAACAAGCGAAAATGGTACTTAGTCACTTATTCGGTCTTTCATCGTCCTCTTTCAACATTTCACAGAGGTTCGACTTATGGCATCAGTGAGCCTTTGATTATCTTATGTACCATGACGGTTGAAAACCCTGATTAAGGATTTGCATATCCAGTCTCCATTTTCGACATGTCACGGCAGCTATACATGGACTATAACAAAGTTCCAGTTGAAGGAAAAATTTTGTCGTTTTGGTTGCGATATCCTGTCGCATATTTTGCCTTATGGTAAGCATTTTTTTGAATATGACATGAATTACCCTCTGATATTATTTTGTATTTCCGTCATCTTAAATTCATTCAATGCCTTAGGTGTGTCATGTGGAATTGTATCACCAATCACATTCGTGGAATTTGGAATCCTACTTTCAGAGAAGAAGAAGATTCTAGTCGAACCTCGATGCCCAAATGGGTAGTGTACCTCCTCAACTCAATCTTCGTATTGTTTACTGTCATATTTTTAATTGGTACGCATAGCACAATATTTATTTTTCTTTCGACTAAACAATTTCATGATCCGGATAGTGACAGAGTATTGATATCCCTCATGAACATGAATTCAATAATGTGACAGTTTATCCTGCAATAGCCGTTCCTGCATATCTTTTAGAAACTGAAATCTTGGGCAAACTTCACCGTGTCACAAATCGTCTTCGTATAGCTTCCAACTTGCCAGATGCAAATGTTCTCTCGGTCTCCAAGCTTATACGTATTCTACAACCAATACAAGACTATTCAGCTTTGACTGTAAGTTTTGTTTGAAGAGAGGATCTGGTATATCGGAGACCACTGAACTTGTTTATTTTAAATTGAACCCCCCAATTTTTCAGGAAAAATTAGGGCAATCAGTTAGACGTGAGTTCATCAGATGGCTAATTTCGTTGAAGTATAAGGGATGCTCTGATACAAACAGTAGGTGTTATCTGGTCAAAACAGATTCGTTTCATTTCTTCGAGGTCATCGATATCATCGTGACAATTGTACGTAAATGAAATCGATTCTGAATGTGCAGATCCTCCTAGCAGCTTTTTAAATTTTAACCACCTACATCTGATTGTCAGACGTACATAGCCTTTGTCTATCTGACTCATCGCCAATTCAAGCAGTTCAAGCAGAATCAATCAAGGCTAAAGGGGCACCAAAACGATGATCAACGTTTGAAGATCAACTACCGAGCTGAATTGAGAGCTCTTTTCATTGAAGCTGTGGTTCTATTGGTCATGTTATCCTCGTATCAACCAATGTATATTTGGGCGGTAAGTATAAATCATGATCTAGTTAGATACGTTTTACGGCTTCTGAGACTTTGAATTGTACTATCACTATCCTATTTCAGGCTACTACCCGCTCTAATCATGATCTTGTGAAATCCACAGGAACTACATTAGTACCTGAGCTGGTAAGCGTCTCGGACTTCCAAAGTATCTATCATTCCGTGCATATGAAGATGTTGATAGAAGGAGCTTCTTGTTTCTCATACATTTCATTCCGAAGACCCTTGGACTTATGGCATGTTTCGTTGGACCTTGGTGAGAATTGAACATTCATGCCTCCTAATTCAAGATTTTCAAAGAGCTGATATTTTCATATAGTGTGGCACATTATCGATATAGTTCTGCGAAGCATCTTTTGGCCATCAAGTTAGAGGGAATGCGACCAAAGTCAAGTCAAAATCATTTTGCTCTTGAATTATTAGACGTTAAATTGAAGGCAGGAGACAATCAATCTACTTCAGGAGGTAATCAATCTCGAGCAGGTAGCTCTATGGGTTACACTTCTATAAACAAGCCTGGAGAGAAATTTGCAGTTAAGAAGTTACATCCTAATGACGATGACGACGTAGACACACTCGCGAATGCTGTGTAAGGTTGAAGATTGATGTTTTTTTTACCCAAAAATGAACTTTTGAATTATGCTTCATTTGATTTTTTACTTTCGCTTTAATGATAGCCAAACTGCATTTTTGAACATGGTTGTATATAATGACCAGAGTCTTTGCATTACAATATACCACATTCATCTTCATACTCTTTGTAATAAAGATTTTTTAACAGGCAGGAACAAATCTCACGACCAAAGCAGTTTGTTTGGTTGCCTTGTAGTGCTTCGGCTTTGTTTCGCTTGACTGTCTTTTTGCACTTCCATCCTTTCGGCCTCTTTATTTTGTATGATAACATCACAATCCTCTGTCTCATCTAAACTGTACGACCTTTTGTAGCTGAACATATTTCTCACTCGACCATGCGCGGGGTTCAAGATATTTTTTCACTCGTTGCCTTCATTTTGTATATATCCAATTACCACTGAATGAGAATTCCTATACTCTCTCTAAAGAATAATGATTTGGTTTGATGTTTTTTGTGATCAAGTAGAGATCTCCAATTTTCTCGGTCCAAAAAAATCCTTCATCATCATTCACTACGGACCCTATTTCTCAAAGAGAAAATTTCAAAGGCTCACAATCCATAAGAAAAGTTAATATTGTCATTGATTCAACTTCCATAAATGGATTAAGTAACTTATTCATCTTTATCATCCATCTAGATCATCTGCCAATGCACAATACTATGCTAGACATCAATTGCATGATGTATGAGCTCAACATATAAGCTTCCAAATGAGGTTACTTACATAGGGCCTAATAAGGCTACGGTTGGTAGCATTTTTGATTTGAAAACTCCCTTTGAGCCCAGGTACATTGCACCAGGGCAAAAGAGTTTATTTGTTCAAATTGAGTTTTTTCAGATGAACTCCATCTTGGGTACCTTTGAGAAAATTATGTTTGGTTGAAAATCCCAACCAGACACATCCTGTAAACTTTCTTGAAAGGTTTCTGACCTCACCTCACATTGCTAAGTACAAAAAGAAGTTTTTTGACTGGAAAAACTCCTTTCTTGCGGTTTTCCAAAAGGACCTTTTAAGCCGGACAATTGTTTTTGGTACCATAAACATTGTCAAACAAATTTTTTTGATCAGTTTTTTTTTTAATTTTAATGGAGTTTTATGGTCCTCAAACCTGTGCAAAAACCGTGCAAGATCTGTGCAAGATTTTTGCACCAATCTTGTGCATTGAATTTTTTGACAACCCTAACTATTGTGTTCCAACTGGTACAAAAACTATGTGAGACCAACATGCCAGATCAGTGCAAGAACTATTAATGTCTTGCACAAAACTTGCAAAAAATTTTGCATAGGTTTAAGTATTTCTAGAAAATGTTTGCTACCAAACACAGCCATAACAAGAAATGTGACTTTGCTGTAGCTGAACAAAATTGCAACCCACAAGTCGGCATTGCAGATAATCTACAACAAAATGAAAAAGATCATTCAAGCATTTTCCCAAAGTCACAGTACAACATATTGGCAATAGTACTGAGGTTTTAAACAACAAATCATCCTATAACCTCTTTTCACTGTTTCCTGTCTATTTACCCTTTGGGGAATTTTTGTAATTGGTTATGTTTGACCATCACCATACCCTTTAGTGAGTTGGAATTGAAATTCCTTGAATTCCTCAAGGCATTTTGTTGTGTTTGGCCACAACACAATTCCACAAAACAAAAATCTACAGCCGTTCCAAGAATTATCGGCAGATTTTGGGCAAAAGCCTGTAATTTTGGCAAAAACTCAAAAGCCCAAAACCCCAGTTAAGATTAGTTTTTGACCCAAAATGTAGTTTCTCCGAGGCTCAAATCTCTCTAAAGCTACCATGCCACTTCCTCACGGTTGTCCAATACTGCTTCAATGGACATTTGACAAAGCATCTCACGCTGCAGCATTTGTCTTGTATTCACCTCACGTGCGTGGCTCCAGGGCTTGAGCCTACACCCCACTCCATCATCCGACCAGGATCCATTGGGACCCTTCCTGGACTCTCGATACTATCGCGGTTAGTCCATTCCCTTCCCTACTTGAATACAATTTGGGATCATGACTGATTTTATGCTATTTTTATCAGAATGCCAATGGATTGAACACTTTTGTTAGTGATGAAGAGAAGAAACAATCAACCTATTTTAGTAAGTGGCATTCTTTTTTCTTTTCCATTGGGGTTTGAGATGAGAAGTTGATATCTACACTTTGATCTACTTTTGGATTATCTGCTGTTAGATTTGTTGGATCTGTTTACTTTTGGTTGGCTAGAAATTCGACTAGATGTTGTAAGAAAACATGAACAATTCAAGATTATGGTAATTACTCTCGATCACCTCGATCACATTCTTTCTATGTATATTCTCATTCTTTTTCTTTTGGAATCATCGAATTCTTTAGTTTTTCAATTCAACCTTTCATTTTCATTCAATCATTTTCAATCACTTTTTTATCGATCTCTATAGCTATGCTTTTTCCTTTAATCTCTTAATGTCTGCGTGTAAATGAATCAGTAATAGTAATTGTGTTGTTTTTTTGATCAAGTGTGTGAGTTTAACCTCAGATTTGTAGCTTAGCTTGATACTTTTCACACATCGTTAGTTTTATGTATCTTGGCCCTTTGACCAGCTTCTATCTTTTTGAATGAAATCAAAATTCACTTAGGACTCCAAGGCGTCACCGTTCCATTCTGATGACCTAAATGAATAATCAAATCCAACGGGTTCTGAGTCATAGTATAACAAGAACCTAATTTAGTTCGATGTTGTGAAACGATTTGTCCAGTAAAAGTATCATGATACTTAAGCCAACCAGGTAAAACAATGGTAGATAATAAGAAATGGTATGGTAAGAATTCCATTTGAGTGACTTCTAAATGAGATCTTAATTGATGAAGTTTGGTTCCTTGATGACCATCATAAATAAACACATAACGACGTTGAGCCACAGCAAAGAAAGATTGGTTGTGTAACCAACGTATTGATCTTGTAGTTTCATTCACATTCAATTCTGTCATCAATTGATACCATTTCTATTGGAGAATATGATGCAGGCGTCAAGAAGAAAAGAGTGCACAATCTGGGACTTTGAAAGTAAAATTCAAGCCCCAGGAAATGGAATTGAATGATGTGCAGTTTGGATATACAACCAAAGTGCATATTAGATGTGCGAGCTAAATTTATCCAAAAGAGATCCATTTATGCCCTTGAGAAACACAGAAGTTCAAGATGTCGACTCTAAGCCCAGAGGTAATGAAAGAATTCCAATATGCCTTTTTATTTTGGGCCACGTAACACCATTTGAACCATAACCACCTTAATATCAGTGCTGTAAAGGTTGACCGGCATTGCTAAAAGAGAATATGGTCGGTGAGGAATGGAATGAGGCAGTATTAAAAATAAAGTAAGTATTAAAATAAAGTAAGTTGCGATAATCTTTAGAAAGAAACTGACTCTGGATTCTGGATGAGGGTGGAAACTCGTATTCGTATTGATGCTCGTATTCGTATTGATGGGATGGATAGAATCTGGAATCTGGATGGATGGGGGATGAGATCAAAGATCGGAAATGGGGGTCGACGGAGAAAATTGGGGGATTTGATTCGAAAATGTAAAAAAACATCCGTTTCCAAGAAGGTTCTGTGAGAGAAATCTTGTGGCGACCTTGGGATGGGACACTATGGATATCCAAAGAGAACTGTCAATGAAATTTGACATTCTCTCACCAAATACGTCAAAACTACATTTTCCAAAGAGGTTTTTGCCAGTGGTTTTGGGCTTTTGAGTTTTTGCCAAAATTACAGGCTTTTGCCCAAAATCTGCCGATGATTCTTGGAACGGCTGTAGTTTATTGTGCTCATTGCACCCAAAAATAATGTGATTTACTCAATTCCAACTCACTAGATTGCAAAATGTAATTGAAGAAGAAGATACACAATTATAAGTTTCCCAAAATCAAAATGAAATACACAGCATACAAAAACTATAAAGTCATTCAACAAGTAGTTCAGAAGTCACAGTCAGAGCCTCATCAAGCTTTGCAGAGCTGGGTGAAATCCCCAGCGCAAGTTTATAAAGTGGATCATAGTGCTTCAATAACACTATACCGTAAACGTTCTTGAGCCAGTTCTAATGTGATTGACTGTGTGACCTTCTTGTTGTCTAGTATCCACTCTGTGGGCCGGATGAATCCTTAGCTTGAAAGAGGATTGTTCTCTATAGGACATCCAGTCAACTTCATGTAGCCAGTTGCCATACTTGACACTTCACCACTCCAGAGGTGTATCTGATGTCCAGCTGAAGTTACAGTCAAAGTTGCTTGAGATCATTTTGAAATCTTGTTGAAGTTGGTGGTAGTCTCTGGCCTGCCAGTGATTAGTAGCTGGGGGATGTGTATGCTTGAAGTAAAGGAGTTAGTCAAGACCACATAAAATGTTTCACACAATTGGTTGCCACAGTTAGTGGTCCTAAAACCTACCAAAAGAAAAGACAAAATTGGTTTCACTGTCAGAGAGAATAGTGATCAAATAATCAAATTAAACAAAAGGAACCAACCTTGAGTTCCAAATTTGAGCTGGTTGTGCTGCTTGCAGTGATTCCACACATGAGGTTGGGGTGTGGTGGTATGTTGATGCTGGTAGTGAAATGAAGGCAATTGATAGTGACATATCTCAAAAGTTAGACCATTGGTTTACTGGATGGGGTTTTGGATCAGTCCCCATCCAAGAGACCCAGCTTTGGGTGGATATTCAATTCATAATCAGATGCAATTTGTTTGAGAAACTTTCATACAGATCATAATAATAAGAAACACCTGTAAGTAAAGAAGAGGAGAAAAAATAGGAAAAAATCCTCAAAAAAGATAAAAAAACTTTCACAAAGAGATTTACATAGATCTCTTTCCAACATAAAAAAGATTTTCAATTTATTGTAAATCTAAATCCAAATTAAGTAAATCTTCAACATACTTCCAACTTCATTCAAGTAGTAAAGCTAAACTTACAAACCTATTTCTTCAACTAACTTCATCAAGTTTCATAACCTAAATCAAAAAAAAAGTAAACAATTCCACAAAACCTTCATACACATACATACTTTCAAACCATTCTGCAAAGATCTTATTTCAATAATTCAATACTTCAAGCAATTCAGTTCAACTCAATTCATAAATTCATTCATTCAATTCATTCAATTCATAAATTCTATCCAAAGAAAAAGAAAAAGAAAAAGAACAATCAATCAAACAGACAAGATATAGAGATATAGAGATAAGATAAGATAAGATAAAATGAATTCAAGTAATATAGAGATATCAAAAAAATCATGAAAAAAAGATATCAAAAAAAGATATCAAAAAAGGGATGAAAAAAAGAGATTCAAAAGATTCAAAAAAGAGATAAAAAAAAAGTTAAAATGAAACAGTTCAAGATAAACCAAAGATATTCATGTAACAAAGATAATCATGTAACAAAGATAATCAATCAATCATAAAAACAATCAATCGATAAAAAAAATCAACTAAAAAAACAAGCACAAAAACAAACCAAGATAAAAAAAAATGATATATATAAATTTGTTTTCCAACAAGAAGATAAAGCCAAAGTAAAAAAAAATCCATTTATAAAACTTCTTTTAACAAATCAAAACCACAGGTAGAAAACACACAAGTAAAAAAAACACAGGTAAAAAGACACACACACAAACGATTTCTTCATTTTTGTTTCATATTCCAACAAACATTTTCTCATCCTTGACAAAGACCAAAAAGAAATCAAAAAAAAATCAAAAAAAAATCATATATCCAACAAAGAGAAAGAAAAAAAAAATCAAAAGAAAGAAAAGTTTCAAGTTAAGTTATCATCAAGATTTCAAATCTGATATGTTTCCCTTCTTGTCCGATTTTTATAGCAAGATAACAGTTTCATATTCTTTTTGAAAAAATAAACCTCTTTCTGAAATCATCGATCATATGAAAGAAACATCATTTTTGATCAACTTATCCAAACTGTTCCTTTGATTAAAAACCTCAAAAAAAAAAACTTCTTTTCAACTATTTTCAACGACATCTTCCCAACTCTTAATTATTCAAATCATTCAAACTATTAACCTACAAAACCAATCAAACCCCATCATGTCCCCCAAAAAACCAAAAAAAAATTAATTAAATCAAACCATCCAAAAAAAATCATTAATTTAGTTTAGTTGAGACTTACAAATCCATCTTGATTTCCAATACTGTTTCTTCGGATCATTTCTGCCTGTTGTTGATTTGAATCCTCGTTTCTCCAAAACGTATTGGTAGTATTCGCATTTGTGTTTGCACTGGGATTCGCATTTGTATCATTCGCATTCGAATTAGCATTTGCATTTGCATTTGTATTTGCATTTGAATTTGAATTAGTATTTGCATTCGTATTCGTATTAGAATTCGTATTAGAATTCGTATTCGTATTCGTATTCATATTAGAATTCGAATTCCGATTGGAATTAGACCCCGAGTTAGAGCCCGAACCCGACCCCGACGCAGAGTTCCTAGACCCAGAATGAGTTTGAAACCCAAACGAACCACTATGACTATGACTATGACTATTAACCTGATGATGTCCCTGATGAGCCTGTTGAGCCTGTCTAAAAACCGACACAGAAGCCTGCCAAGGTCCAGCACTAGCAGGTGGTACGTTTCCCGAGTTTTGGTAATACTGAAACGTCAAGTTAGTCGTACTACTACTACTACTTGGTTGTGGTGTATTGAATTGAATTGGATTGTATCCAATTGAATTTCCTCCATTACTATTCGACCCATTCCCTTGATGACCTCTTAATGGTGATCCTGGTCTCCCATGATGATGATGATGTGGTGCTTGTGGTGGTCCATGATGATGATTTGGTGTTCCGGTTGGATTTGATTGACTCGTGTATTGTGATGGTGTATGTGGTTGGAATGGACTTTGTAATAAATTACTCGAATCTCCTGTCTTTAAAACCAATCCGAAATCAATCAATCAACAATCAATCTCCAAAAAGTTGTTCAATCCAAAATTCACTTACTGATCCATTATATAACATTCCAGGAGTAATAGGACTAGAAGGTAAACTATTATTACTTGGATTCGATGGATGATGAGAATGTAATGAATTCAAATTACTATTCCCAGTAGAGATTTGTAACCTAAGAGCTTGTGATTTCTTATGTTTTTTCATCAAGATCTTCTTATTAGGTGTCATAGGTCTCTGATCAATCGGATTACTACTACACATCATCATCGTCGTATCTCCATCTAAATCTTGTCCATCTGACATCATTCCTTCTTGTTCTTCTTCTTCATCTGATTCATACAAGTTTGTTCGATGAGGTGATGAATCTTCTCCAATACTTTCTCTTCTAGTAGAAGTCGAATTACTTGAAGATGATAATTTGGGTGATTTGATCGAGCCTATACTTGATCTAGATCCACTCATTCGTTTTCGATCTCTAGCTCTAGAAGTCGAAACTTCAGCCTCAAGATCAACTGTCCAATATGATCCTTTACCTGGATCTCTACAACAACAAAAAAGAATTCAACTTTTAAATCATTCTTTCTCTAAAAGGAAAATCAAGAGTTTGTAAAATTCAGAATTCCAAAACACTTCACTCACAAAATATGTCTAGGTTGTTTAACAAAACATTTATTCAAACTCAAGTTATGTCGAATCGAATTCATCCAACCTTTACCTGCCGTACGATAATACGGAAATCGTTCCATGATCGATTCATATAACTCTTGTAAAGTTAATTTACATCTCGGACTACTCATGATCGCACATCTAATCAAAATCACATAAGGGTATCCTGGCTATTGCGATCAAGATCAAAACAAAGGAAAAGTAGAAGAGAATTAGTTTCGTTCTTTAACTCCGAATGATCGGAAACATGCAGAAATCTGATCGGTGACAAGTTTCAAAAGTCACACCACATGATCCTTAGATCAGATGGCTTCTGGATAAATACTGCTCTCTCGCCACTGCCAGTATCACCCGAAATCATCAAGAGAGACCAACATACCTTTCCATTAGGACCATCAGGACCATCTTTCAAATTAGCCAAATCAGCTTGAATGCCAGTCGTAAGTGGCATCACACCCATCGTACCACCACCACTAGTAGTAGTACTATTCGTATTCTCTCTCTTAAACGTAGGATTTCCAAAACTAAAAGAAGGACTTCCACCAAATTGTTGAAGTGGTTGATAATTAATGATACCCATTTGACCACCAATCAAAGGTTTGCTTCCATCCTGTTGATTTCCTCCAAAGTGATGATGATTAGTAGCTTCATCACATGCTAATCTACGAGGTCTTGATTCAGATGAAGAGATGGTAGAAGAAGGTTGTGAAGAAAAACTAAGTCGATGTGGAGTTCTTGGAGTAGGATTGATAGGAGTTTTAAAGATTCCAGAAGAAGCCACGGTCGAAGGTGAAGGAAGAGGAGAAGAGACAGGTGATGAATTGTTAAGGAATTGATGATGAGGATGAGGATGATGAGGATGATTGGGATAGATACTTCGATTATCAGGTTTGCTTTGACTTCGACGATGTTGTTGATGAGGATTGAAAGGTGAGTTCAAGGTTTTATGATTCTGAAAGGTATTGTTAGATTGATAATCTGGTGAACGGTATTCTAGATCGAGTGAAGTAGGTCTAAGGATATCGTTTGGAAAAGGAAGATGTTGAGGTGGAGTAGATGAAAGTTGAAGATAAGAAGATGAGGTCGGACCTGAAGTGGCTGTAGAAGTAGGATGATGAGGTAGATGAGATTGAGTGAGATCTGATGAAACGTCTACTCCTGCATGTAGACTGTTGTTACTTGATGAAGAGGTCGAAGGATGAATGAGTTCCGGTTCATTGAAGAATGAATGATCTTGATGATGAACCGATGGATCGGGATTGAGGGAATGGTTTGTCGAATAATTGTTGGATTGAAATCCCGAATGATGTTCGGTAGGATCCAGTTGAGGTTCATGGTTGGAATCATTTGAATTCAAATCTTGATGATGCTCTACCCGAGAGCTTCTAGATTCTAAAGAAAGGGAAGATGAAGGTTGAAAGTTTGAAGATTTAGGATAAGCCGATGAATTGTTGGGATGATCTTGAGTGATGGTATCGATTGAGTTTTCATCATTCAAATCACCATGATTACTACCACTACTGCTAGGTACTCCAATGATGGTCATATCACTAACTTTTCTAATCTCAGGCTGAGAGCCCAAAGCTCCAGCAAAGTTAGAAAACCCGTAGGGTGTTGTCAAAGCCAAAGCGGGCGAATTCGAATTAGAATGGGGATCCAAATTGTTTGTGGAGATGGAGATTTGATGATGTAATTGATTGATGGGTGGAGAACCGAGAGAGAGATGAGAGATGTTGAATAATTTGTTTGTGATTGGACTGATTGGTGTTTGAAGTTGATCGGAGGGATTGTTGAGATGAGAAGAATGTTGTTGATCGGTGTTGGTTTGAAGAAGTTGTTGATCGGTATGATGAAGAGTTTGTTGTTGATTGATAAGAGGATGATTGACTTGATCAGTGTTATTATGAATAGAAGAAGTAGCAGATGAAGGACTGGGTGATAGATCAATGTTAGGATGATTTGAATTTGAATAGAGAAGGTTTGAGAAATTATGAAAACTAGTTGATTTAGGTTTATGTGATTGATATGAAGATCTTTGTTGTTGTTGTTGTTGTTGATGATGATGATGATTGGGTGATGACCCTAGATTGGGTTGATTGGATGAAAATGAAGCCAGCGTAGTAAGATTTGATTGAAGAGGTTGAGAATCGGAAGGAATTGAAGAAGATGAATTGAAGTTTGGATTTGTTTGATAAAGTTGATTTAATAAGAATTGATGAGATCTAAGTAAGTGATTGAGAAACCAAATCAGTTAGTTCAGTGATCAACACAAACAGAATCCAATCTATAATCACATTTGATGATGAAGATTAGTTTGATGGTGATGATGATTGTAAGTTGAAGAAACCGTTAAGGATTGATGAGTTGATGGTAAACTGAATCTGATCGAAACTGGATTGGGTTCACTAGATTCTAAGGAAAATGAAGATCAGAATGATTAAGAAGTACTCTAAATCGATCCAACAAGATCATCAAAGGAAAAGAAGTGAACCTATGTTGAACCGATTTCCAGATTGTTCTTGTTCTTGTTCTTGTTCTTGTTCTTGTTCTTGTTCTTGTTCTTGTTCTTGTTCTTGTTCTTGTTCTTGTTCTTGTTCTTGTTCTTGTTCTTGTTCTTGTTCTTGTTCTTGTTCTTGTTCTTGTTCTTGTTCTTGTTCCAGTGATGATGATGGTGAAGTTGATTGATTGATTTGTTGAATTGAGTTTGGTATGTGATGAATATTAAAAGTAGTGGTGATGGGTTTAAGTGGGTGACTACTCAAGATCGGTTTGTTCAACTTTGGTTTTTGTTTATGATTGTGATGATTGATGATAGTAGATTGAATCAAATTGTTTAGAAAACTTTCTTCGATACTTGATTGAGAATGTTGGTCAATAGGATCGATTAAAGTATTACTACTACTACTGAGAATAGTAGTGATAGGTTCTTCGTGTTGCTGTTGCTGTTGCTGTTCTTGGTCTTCTTGATGGATTCTTGTTAATAAACTTAAAACTTCATTCATCTCAAATATCAAATATCAAAATCAAATCTCCCAAACTACTGATACTATTTGGTTAAAAATAGATTCAATCCAATCCAATCCAATCCCATACACCAACATACAACAACAACAACAACAAGGAGCTAAAAACCTCAAAATACTCTAAAACACCCCCTGAATCGTCTCTTTCTTTCGTCCTTTGTTTTGGTTTCTAATTCACTCCACTTTTCAATCCAGAAATCAAAAAAGAAAAAAAGAAATACTAAACAAACAAACACACACTCTCTGTTTTTCCTTGACGTCTTATATATGTAAATCTTTTTAAAATGTAAATGGATTGATTTGAAGGATGCTTAGGTTGAGTTTTGGGTTCCAAGGAAGATTCTGATGGATTGAAATTTGAAATTCTTGATGAACAAACACACAAAAGAACACAGCCACTTTTGATTTTATTTTTTCTTTCTTCTCTTAGAACTTCAAATTCAATAGTATATAACTAATAACTAACTAGAAGTGAAGTCCAACAAAAATCTCTCGATCGATCCGATCTTTACCGATCGAAGAAACCAAATGAATCCTTTTTTTTTTCTCTATCTATCTCTCTCTCTCTCTGTCTCGAAATGGGTGTGAGAAATTAGAATAAAGTGAACTTCAAAGGAATCAGGATGTTTGTATCTGTGTGTAAAGATCTATGTATAAAGTCTGTGTTTCTCGGCTATGTAAGTTGGTGGATCAAATCAAAAGACGGTTAAAGAGGAGAAAAGTTTAAGGCACTTCGCTAAAGTTCTTCTTATAATCTAATCTTTTCAGGTTTTTTCGGGGCTCAAAATAAATCGAATATGTATATATGTTTTATATCCGATAAAAGCCTATTATTTTATCCTGTAAACTAAAGTATGTTTTCTTTTTCTTTTAGCAAGTAAAACGTTTTAAGAATTGATATAGTGATGTGATGCTATGCTATGTGATGTGATGTGATGTGATGTGATTTTGTGAATAGTTTGAATCGGTTATTGTGTGCAGTTGATTGATTGAATAAAAGTGATCACTGATGATTCATGAATGGTAAAAAGAGTCTTTGATCTACAGTTTATTTGGTTGATAAAATAAAATAAACTGATCGGAACACAAACAAATCGCAACAGCAACACCATCACTTCTTTTTCACAATCATTCTTCATCTTCCCTCAAACACCGTCAAGATTTACATAAATCCGTTCAATTTGTCAATTGGACTTAGATCGAACCGAACTTATGAAAATCATTCTAAAGCAAAATGTTTTTTCCTTGCCTTTTGTTTTTCAAATTTCACTTCTTTTTCATTTTCTTTGTACAACAACAATAAACCGGACCAGTGAAGAATCAAAAAAAAAATCAAACCTCTTCGTACATAAAAAAAACCACATTTAAAAGGATGTCCAATTTCCAATTTCCAAGGAGTAGATAATTGTCTACTCAAAGTCTTTTCCTACGAGGAGTTCAAAAAGAAACATGTTTTAGTCATCAAATGGATTGCAAGTACGTATGCTATACGTATTACAGTCGTTTTCAAAAAGCTTGCCGCTAATTCACCGCCAGATCGCTCGAGTTTTGCGGGCAAATTTCGGCAAGCTTTTTGAAAACGACTGTAAATTCATCGAAGAATAGGAGTCAGAAAATCTTTCAAATAGTTTGTCTGGTATACTGGGGGTGGAGGCCCGAGGGCGTTGGTGTAACAAGTGGTTGTCAATAAGGATCATAACGCATGCCAGGTGCCAAGAAGCGGCTTTCACTAGACCAGAAAACGTATCGTATCAACCGACCGACCACAGCTCTTGAATGCCAAACTTAACAAACTCCAATCACCTCTCGGTCATCTCCGAGGCAAGCACGAAGAATTTATGCAGGCGCTTGGCATGGTTTTGAGCATGGTGAGGTTTTCAAATTTAGTAGAGGAAAACTTGATTGCTCCATCCAGCAAAAAGTTGATGATGTTCCACCAACAAGAAAAGCAGATTCAATCAACACCAGCATACATTTGCTTTCGCCTAGATTATGCTTATAGCAGAGTTACCCCAATAAAGGCTCTTAAAATAGACCCGTTTGACCGGCCGGTTGTTTTTTGGCCGTAACTTTTGGTATCAACTTGAGATTTGTTGATAGCTTCGGCCGGAAAGTCCACTGGGTCAACTAAGTTTTTTGAAACCGGT